CTGTCAAAGATCAGAAAAAGGAAACACTGTGTTTTACATTTTGTTCCAAAACAGAAACAGAAGCCATGATTTCATGTAATGTGTGAATGTTTGCTTTGTTTATGTTAACAGTCTTAATATGCGCTCACTTTGATGGCAGCAGCATGTGTCTGAGAAACAGCTCTCAGCTCATCTGGTCCACTGGCAGCAGGTCAGTCACATGACCGGAGGTTCAAAGAGGAAGTAAAGATGTGCAGAGGCAAGCTGTGAACAGAACAACGTCCCTCACTGTAAAACGTTGTTGTGTCCATCTACTGCTGCATTTTGTTCTGTATGTGCATCTACTAGCTGCACTAGAGGGCGCTAGTGATTATCTGTGTGTCGTACTACTGTGGAGAAAATAAAAAAGGAGTTTTTCTCCGGTGATCCTGTTCCTGCCTGCTGACACCACAGCACAAATACTGTTTCTTCTCCCACATGTATTGCTCTGTGTCTCACTGTCCAGCTGTGATAATAAAGGCCTAGAGGCCTTCATACCCACATGATGCTGCCCGTATCAGGCTGAACTGCTTTTTCCTTCAGAGCTGCTTTTTCATGGCTTAGATTTGTTCCGTCCCAAAGACGGACCGAGAACGTAGCAGAGAGTGTTTTGTCTTTTTTAATTGGGAAGAGGCTGTTTCTCCGTTCCTCAGTAAAGCTTTGGATACGCTCTTTCCTCGTCTGCACAACTATGCCACGGTGTTGCCCTGGGCAACAAACCACATTTCACATTATGTGTTCTGAATATGGGATATATTAGGGTGGCCAACCGTCCTCTTTTCCCCGGACATGTCCACTTTTCACGTTCTATCCGGGGCGTCGGGGGGAGTTTTGAGATTTTGATTTTGAGATAAAAATGTCCGGGTTCTCCTGTATTCCGACATCATCCCCGAACTGCTGCTTTGTGCTTGTTCTGCGCTCGCAGGCAGGACTGACAATGCGCAGCAACGCGCCTAATGATGTTTAAAAGATCCCAAAGCGCATCTTTTCAGACGAACTGCAAAAGAAATTTCCCTCATACCGACCATAGCTTTACGGCCGATGGTTTTGTTGTTGTTGTTGTTTTTGTAACGGTATAAACAATGAGAGGTGGCGGGTTGGCTAGATGCTGGTCGATGTGTAAAAATAATCCAGCTGTTTGGTGGTAGCTGTGGCGGAGCTCCCACTGAGGCCAGCAGGTGGATGAGGGAAGGGGAGGCAGGAGGAGCAGAGACCCGAGGCAGCCGC